TATATACATATATATATATATATATATATATATATATTTTTTTTTTTTTTTTGCTTTTTTTTTTTTTTTTGAAAAAGATAGCCGGGAACCGGGCCTGACGTCCCTTATATTTCAATAAGCAAGGAAACGGGCCTGGCGTCCCTCATAAAAGGAAGGTGGCCCCCTCAAAGGGCGAGACATAACCGGTCAAGCCCGAAGATCGGACCAATGTGTCAGTACAAACCCTAAGATCCGAAAAAAATTACTAACAATTAGATGCGAGCCCCAATCATCCAACCCTAATACTGTTTCAGCACATGGTAGGTTCGATAACAACAGCTAGTTTCTATGGACCAACAAAACCAACGAGCTTGCATAAACCTATTCTTATTACTACTTGCAATCCCAAAAACCTCATTCCCCATAACTGCGAAATCAAGTGTCCAACCCTGGTTTCCACCAATCATAAACTGACAATCACCTACAAAATATCAAATCCACGATCTAACTATTTTCTTCACATAACAACATTCCTCGTCCAAAGCTACCACAATTTCTAGAATCTTTGAAAACATAATTCCTATTATCTGCTAAGAATACAGAAGGCGGCATATGTAGGCCGAACCCTAATTTCAACAACAAGTACTAGCTATTTACTATTTCTATGGCCAAACGTACAAACTAACAGATAGCTACAAACCCTGATAATCTAACCCTTATACTGTTTCAACACACGACAGGTTCGATAAGTATAACCAGTTTCTATTAGCCAACAAAAGCAACAAGTGTTCAATACATAATCCCTATTGTCTACGAAGAATAGAAAAGGCAGCAGACGTAGAGCAAGCCCTAGTTTAAACAACAAAACACTTGAAAAATTACTATTTCTATCAGAATAACCGCAGCAACAAAATCACAAAGTAGCATAACTCGTGCGGTCGGCTCCATCGCACTGCGACACTCTATCATCATGCAACTCTGGCAAATTTTCGTCGCAGGCCGCCCACAATTGCTCATAGACAGGATAACCCCGCAACATCTCCATATCAAAGACCGAAGAACCAAACCCTCGATAAGTTCCATCAGGTGTGAATCTGTCATAAACCAGCTGAAACTCTGACAAATTGCAATGCTCGGATCCCGCCCGTCGAACGTCCACACATGTGCCACCATCCTTCCTCGTTCGAACTGGATTACTGACCCCAGTCAGCCGGGACTGGCCCATAGCAAGGGCTCTTCAGACCCTCTTGCAGCGTGTCCCTCTTAGTGCCCACACACTCGATCCCCCACACTTCCACCACCCCAGCAACAATCTCTGGCTTGACACCACCATCTTTTTTATAGCACCCGTGCGATCCCCCGCTGCCCAAGCACCACCCCGACGGCGCTGACGCTGAGACGGTGCAGCGACGTCAACAAAAATTAGAAGCAGGCTCCTTGCGCCCAACGCCCCGGCCAGTTTATTCAGCGGTGCGCTTATTTCCTCTCCTTAAAAGAATAAAAATTAAAATAAAGCAAAAAAAAAAAAAAAAAAAACTAAAAAAATCAAAAAAATTAAAAAAAACTAGGTTACC